TACAGCCAGCCATGGAGTAAGAAGAAAAGAAAGATAAGTGGAATAAACAAAGTTAAAAAGCCCAGAGGCAAAGCATAGTTAAAGAGAAATGGGGTAATTTAAGTTAGAAAGCTGGCTAGAAACAAGCCAAGCTAAGCCTGCACATTCATAAGTAAGAATAAGTCTCTGTATATTTATTTGAGAGCTGGGTGGCAGGCCCCCAAAGAGAAAACAAAAAACGAAAACCTAACTAAATTCCACCTTAGTGGAAATGATGAAAAGGCATTCCAAGCAAATGGAACAAAGAACTAAGCAACTGTGTTTGCATTTAGCTGTGTATTGCTTGTTGTGTTAATTTTTCTGACCAACTGGAAAGAACTTCATTTAAAACTTGGTCTTAAACAGTCTTTCCACCCAGCTTTCAGTGTTCCACTGAATGCTGTCCATTTCTGGCATAGACTGAGCCACAGTAGAAAGTGCAATTGAATAGACAGAATCAAGAAAAGAACCTGCTCTTCCTCAGCTCCCTGTTCTGGCCTGATCCAGCTTCATGCTGCTTCTTGAAGCAAATTTCTCATGACTGTCTTCCCACCCCAAACTTCAGGGAACTCCATAACTATTTCTTGACATAAAATAGAAAGAAACTGATAGGGACTAGAGAATGCTCATCAAATTTTACTCCAATTTGTGTGTGTGTGTGTGTGTGTGTGTGTGTGTGTGTGTGTGTGTGTGTTTTAGCTGATTTTAAATTGCAAATATTTACTAGGCCATAAGGAGTACTTAGCTATATACATTATAGCAAAGCCATATAGCCTGAAGTGAAATTTCACATACACACACACACACACACACACACACACACACACACACACACATGCACGCACACACACACACATTGCTACACACTTGTACACAGGTACATACACATATGTGTATGCATGTACATGCACACATGCATATACACAGACACAGAGATTATCTTAATTGTAGAACTAGAAGGGGGCTCAGGATCTGCCATTCACATCTCCTTTCAGGTGACAAACACAAGCAGTACATTGAAGGACTCTTCCTCAGGCAAGCATACCAAAGACAGACCCAGGTCTCCTGATTTCCTTCATGTGCCGTCCATCTCAGCAGTATTTACCCCTGCTTGTACACATGAAAAACTAGCCATGAAATATATCCCAGCTTACACATACTTCTCCCCAAAAAGTGCTTTCCAAGTTCCTGTTTGCTTTAAAATCAAACTTCATCATTAAAAGCTATAGAGGTGGAAAGACAGCAGGTAGATACACGAGGCAAGAGGAAAGGTGTACCTCACTTTAACTTCTCTGAGCTTCATGGGCCCTCGCCCTTGGGTGTGTTACATGGCTACAGATGACTGCATGGGTGGGACACTGTCAGAGGCAAGGATGACAGAGCCTGTGTGTGCCCAAGGTGCCACCTACCAAGCTTCCCAGTGTTCCAGAAAAACGAGTCCAGGCTGATTTTTATTAAGTGGTTGGGAAATTGAGTTTCTTAACTTGGTGTTCTTTTTTGTTTGTTTGATTGATTATTTTATGTGTATGAGTGTTTAACTGTGTGTATGTCAGTGTGCTAAGTTTGTGCCTAGCACCCAAAGAGGCCAGAAGGGGGCATTGGATCACTTGGAACTAGAGTTATGGATGATTGTGAGCTGCCATGTAGGTGCTGGAAATTGAATCCATGCAACTGAAGAGCAACCAGGGCTCTCAACCACTGAGCCATCTTTCCAGCTCTTAACCTGATGTTCTAAAACAACTATTTTCAGTTTTCTCATGTACCAAGAAATAGTTTCCTTTTGGGGTATCCATTAACTTTGACTTCCTCCCAATTTATTGAGATGTTTCTTGTACTAAATTTTGTCTGAGGCCCACAAAATAGATCCAAGTTCTTCAACTTACTGTATGTAACAAGTACTGGAAAAAGCACAGTCAAATTCACAAGTCAAATCACTCACCATATGGGCTTGGAGCTGTTAGTCTTTAAGACTTAAAAGGGAAAAAATTACTTCTCTTGATCTTTTAATATCTGCACTACGCTGAATATTTTTTATGCTTTCAATCTATTTTTCTTCCAGTAAGTTGGGTGTGCATATATGTTTACATGTAACTATGTGTTTTGGCTCTCACACATAATATTTATAGTTATAGCATGCATGTTATCACTACATCTATATAAAATTCTATATAGCAAAGCTTAGACACATGGATGAAAACTCTAGTCAGTCAAATATCAGTAATGTTTATTTCAGCTATCTCATTTCTCAGAAAATCTGTTGCCTAGCATAAGAGTCTCGGCGGATGCTTCACATAGAGCTAGCCAAGGCTTAATTTTCCGGCATTCAGGCAGTCCAACAGCTAAGAGCTAGTTCCTATAGCCTGGTATGTTTTTTTTTGTTTTTTACTTTTTATGATATGTGAAAATATTTTTCATAAGCCTGAAAACGCGGAGTATGGCCGAAGCTTTAGCCTTCTTCCATGTGCTGGCAAACCAGTAATCATAAACCCAGAGAATTAGTATTCTTTTAACTTAGTTATCATCTGAGGATTTCCTGGAAACTGTGTACAGAAGATCTGTTAATACCTTCAGGTTCTCTCTTTCCTTTCACCTGTGTCCTGAACAATGATTAGAAGTCAACTATTTTAATTTGGGAAATATTTACTGAATTCATGGAAAAGCACATTGCTGCAAAATGGGGATTCAGCAATGAATGAAACACATTCCAGAGTCCTTAATTCAGCCATGATTCAGAGCAGAATGCAACTCAGTGGCAAGTGAGTGCAGTTAGAGACATAAAAGCCTTCTTGAGGCAAGCCTAGAAGAAGACAGAGGAGTCTGTCTGGTCCACATGGGCAGAAACATGTATGTTGTTGCTTGAACAGAGAGAGCAAGCAAGCACTTCTAGTTTCCTGGAACTGCGCCTGCACATTACTAGCCAGGTATGGATTTTAATACTGTATTCCTATTCTCATTTTTTTCATTGTCTGAAGATCACACTCATATTGAAACAAAGATATTGGGACAGAAAAGGGAGAACTGGAAGTGGGTCAAAGGCACAAATATCATGGAAGAATAAGTCCCTATTATGTCTTGGGACAAATGTATATTTTTTTCTCTTTTATACACAACAAAAACAACAACAACAAAACTATGTTTATCTTACTGTTGCTGATTGAATTGACATAGTAGTATGTTCTACCCAGACTGTCAAGAACTTTTTATTCATGCCTTGTTTATTTTCCTTTCTAGATTGTGACTATTGAGTAGTACAGACCTCATCCTATATTTGTCTTCCATTTTCAATTGGTAAGGCAGTTTTATTTCTGGAACTTTATGGCTTTCACACCACATAAGAGGGAAAGTTAGAAACCAACTTAGACATTCCATTATCCGCCTTCTTCCCAGTCAACGCTAAATTTGAACACACGGTGTTCCTGAACTTGGCCTTGTACTTTCCTACAAACAAATGTTTAAGGAGAAAAATAGCCAAAATTGGAGCAATGTTATTACCATCTTTGCAAATATTCTCGGGGAAAGAATGCCATATACTACCCAATATCTTGACTAGCATGCTCTCTTTCAGAGCTTCATGTGTGTTGAAATACATTTCTGATAGAAATATTTTACTGAAGAATTTTTAACAGGCTCTAAACTTAGAACCAAGAAACCAGGACCAGCACTATGAATGTACATATAAAAAATAACACAAATATCAACTGAGCAATTTCATCAGTAACTATAACAAATTCATCTCCTTTATCATGATAATGTAGTATAGAACTGATTTTCATTGCTCATTAATTTTTGTACTCTTGTTTATCTCTTGATAGGTGTGTTCAAAGAGCTGTAATCACAGATTCCCCAGACCCTATTTGTAGTGGGCATCCCATATGGAATGCACATGGTGTGAACAGATGGGAAGAGACAATAGCTGGTCCTCATCTAAGGAGAGAAGCGTGGAGCTATGCTGGGGGTGCAACTCCCTTCTCTGCCCTCTTGACACTTGCTTCTTTTTCTGGAGTTGCTTCAAACTTCCAGCAAGGAACAGACTGTTCTGACATGAGCTCGTAGCTGCTGCATCCATTTCCAGCCTAGGATTTCAAGATGCCCACAGCATGGACAGCAGACCCAACAGATTCTCTCATGGAGGGAGCATAAAGCATCTGATGTTAGCCCAAATGACAACAAATATGATACTTGCCATAACTGTTTGTTTAGATTCTTTACATAAGGACAACAAAACAGTAACATCACTTGAAGATGTGATTTTGATGCAGTAACAGCCTTCCTGTCTCCTACCTGGGCCCTCACCTTACTGTGACTCTCACTAGTCCTCTAAATGGTCCAGGGGACTCTTGTTTTCTTTTCATTCACTGCAGTGCGTTCCTCAGATGTTCTTAGTAATTCCTTTACTCTGTGACTTGAAGTTAGAGTTTCTGCTAACATCTAGTACAGTGGGAAAAAGCCGTGTTTAACTGAAACACATCTTGCAAGACCATGCCCAGTTACCTGTTCAGCTTTACATTATCCCTTTCATGCCTGATGTTTTTCTGGGATTTAGCCCCAGAGAACTTGAATTCTCTAATTGACTTTCCCCTGACCCCTTAACTTAGTGATGCCCCTTGGTTTTATGTGTATGACTGGATATTCTTATGAGCTGAATGTTCTTAGAAACCTCGTTTACCTTTATATCATCACAGATGAGCAGACTGACTGGTGTGTGTATTGAATAAATAAATAAGTCTAACTGAATGATAGAAACTTTTAAAAATCACAGCCACTAGCCTTATGGATTTTACTGACAACAAATGATCACACTTGGCTAATTACTTATTGCCAAAGATAGGCAACAAGAAAATCACACACACACACACACACACACACACACACACACACACACACACACACACACACACCTGGAACCAATGCCACAGAGCTATATGTAATTCCTTTGAATAAGTTGGATAAATATAATCAACTTTTGATATATAAACATACAATCACTTTCATATAAATGTTTTATTGCAGAGAAGTTATAGTTATTTACATGCTGCAACACATCACAACATAAATTTACCAAATATTTCATGGTGGGATGCTGTAGATTCAGACAGTAGTTGTAGAAGAACCACAGGTTAAGTGAAGAGACTTACAGCTTTGTTGACTCTACAACTCTCGGCTGCTAAATGCTAGAAGTCAAAGGCAGTGTGTTGTCAGTCCTACCTATCACCACTTGCATGCAGAAACCTAGGAAGCAAATACAAGACAACTGTCGGGTTTCAATCTGTATTGCCACCGACAATACCTTACGAGGTGTGGGGTAATAATTTATGTTGTAAAGCATTTAATTCTTGCATAAAATATACACTTCTATGAAGACTGATATAAATCTACTTATTTATAAACCCTGGCTTAAAACAAGGACAGGATGCAGCCTGCACATGCACTGAAGAGGACAGCCTAGCAAATGTTTGTGAGACCTTCACACGGTATGCACTTTCTATTGTTCTCAGCCTGGGAAAAGGAGCTTCCAGAACAACAGAGTTCAGTTTCTTTTGGTGATAAGTCATGACAATGAAATGCTAGAAAAGACCCTAGACATTTGCGCTGATTTGTGATAGTGGAGAATAACCTATGGGGGAAGGGCAGACTGTCACTAAGGTAAAATTTGGCAAATCTTCTGCTAGCCACATGTCAAGCAGGATCATCCTGAAGTGCAACAGAAATCAGTGACAGTTGACTGCTTAATTCTCAGAAGTGAATCAAGTGCTAACAGACCTCGGGCACAAGTGTAACAAGTACGTGAGCTTAGAAACTCTAAAACCAGGTTCACAGATGCTGCTCAGAATAGCATGCCAAAGCCATCTAGCAGATAGGTTTTGATGGGCAAGGAGGGGGTGATAGAAATTAATGAAGGGGGCAGTTAAAAATAAAATGTCTATAGCTCTCCAAACCTACCCCACCAACCTGAGTAATGCATGAAGCAAGCAAATGGGTGAGGGCAGCTCACGCATGGCTCTGCTAACTCTTCAAGTGCTTGCTTACTCCTGAATAAAAAAATAAACACTGAGAAAAGTTTGACGATAGATACAAAGCATTCTGTTTCTATCTTCCACTGAGAGTAAGAAAAGTCTTGTATCTACCTTCTGATTCCTTCTCCCCATCTTCCATCCTCCTAGCAAATTCTCCTTGTTGCTCACCAAATGAAAGAACGGTTACTTTGGCTGGAAATGTCTTGGCCAAATAAGCAGTTGTTCAGTGTTTGTGATGATGGGAGAAAGGCAAGCCTGGGCTGTAGTTTTGAGTGATTCGTTTTTACATAAAATGTGACGGAACTTTGGAATCTCGTTTCAAGATAACATCCTTAGCACTAAATCAGCAACTCAGGATGTTCATGCTAGGAGATCAGTATGGAATGCAGCAAGTTCTATAAGATATGCTTCGAGGGTTTCGAACAAATCTTATGCTTGGCATTTTGAGCTAGGCGGCTTGCAATGATAGTTAACAGGACTTGTAAGTTCTGGTGCTGGGAAGGATGAAAAACCCATAACACCTTATGGGCTTTGAGTAAATCAGGTTATAAAATCTCTTTGGGATTTGAGCCCAGCAAGTTCTAAACCTAGGTGAAGCAATGAATAAAAGTTTATGAGAATAAATAGTTTATGGTAATTTAAAATATCATATTTTCAGTATGCATAATAAAAATATATCCATACAATGATCTTGATGCTATCATTAATTTTTCTCTTTATAAAAATAATCCCTTGAAAGTGCTATTAGGAGCTACCTTTCTGTATTTGTTGTGAAAGGCAATTTCCTGGACCTGCAGTATGCTCTCATTCTCACAGCATTCCTAGAGTTTTCCTCTTCTGTTGGTAATAACACACAGCACAGTTTCCTCACTCAGCTTCTTCCTTAGGAAATGGTAATATGAAATACTGAAAGAGTTCAAAAGGACAATGTATTGGGATAGTCTAGCACTGACTGGGAACAAACAATGGATAAGTTGTCCTTAACTTACTGAGACATATGACTAAGCAGGACCACTTGATCTCCAAGACTAATAGAGCTTCAGAGCTTCAGAGTCCCTACAAGAAGTGCAGAACAAGAAACTCAACTTATATTTAAAAAAAAAACAACTAAGACATTACACAAACTAATGAGAAATAATAGAGTCAAATCCAACTTCATACTATATAAACCACGGTCCAAACTAAAAGTTTACATCATAACAGTTACGGCTTCCTAAGCCAGAGAAAGCTTACTGTACTCCAAGAATCAACTACAGTTGATAGATAGCAGGTATTGGGTAGTTTGCGATGACAATTGAGTAGCTGTGGATTGCATAAATGTGTTGTGTCACATAATATCAAAGTTATTTGCAAAAATTATACAATCTGGAATGCTTGAATCTGAGACACAACAATGTACTGAAACATACATTTTAAGAAAATGAGAGCAATCATTTATATAAAAGGTATTGGGGTGCATTAAGTTAGCAGTGCTACCAAGGTTAAATAGGTAAAGTAGGTCTTTTTCATCGGCTACTTAGAATTCCAGTCACAGACATCCAAGCTTTCCCTATCTTAAAATCCATGCCTTCATCTTCTGTGCCTCCTGGTTAATCTTGCTTAAGACCATCCACTCCCATGGGTAAAGACGGACAGGGCAATGTCCCTTAAACAAGTTGAAATGCCAAGCTTTCCCCAGTGTTGCTCTGGGAATGACTTTCCATGGCTGAGCCCGACTTCCTCCTTGTGATGCACAGCTGCTTCCAGCCTTCTCCAGCACATTTCTTCACCTCACCACACACCATGTGCCATATTTCCCCAGGCTGATAAAACTTTCTTGGTAAGTTTTGATTTTTCAGATCTATTTTATATCACACTGGGGATTACTCTTTTTCTTCCCAAGGTGCTACACTTGGAAAGTGTCCCAGACCTCCTATTTCCGAGGCCCTGCTATCTTATTTGCATTTAAAGCAGAGGAGGCGGGAAAAGCTACACTTCTTTCATCATTTGGTTGATCTAGGGACTCAAACTCCCAAGGACACACTTCTGCTCGTGATGTTAATGGTTGGTGGGAGTTATTACTTGAGTTACAGGAGCCAGGAGTGATACCCACAGAGGAAGATGTCTGTTTCTCCTGGTCTCCCATTTGGTTGAGATTTTCATTCTCTACTTTTGATGCCACGGCTTTGGGGGGCAGTTCTTCATATTGCCCAGCACACATATTGGTTGTGTAGAGCTGACTCCCATTCTCCTCTCTGGCTCTCCCTGGGTGAATGGGAGTCTTAGAAATCAGACGGTTCTCATCTTCCAAAAGGGACTGACCTTGGCTCTCCCAGGGGCACACCTCTGTTTTGTCTACACTCTTGTGATTGAGTTGGTGAAGACTTTCAGCTGCCTTAGGCTTCTGATGGGACTTCTCCTTCAGAGAAGAAGCTGGGTTTTGCTCCACTTCAGAAGCTGCAATTGATACGTGTTTTTGAGCTTTTGGTTCTGAAGGCACAGGACCAGGGGTCAGGTCATAAACCTCCCAAGGGCACACTTCTCCAATGTCAAAATTGTCCTTTATCTGGGTGGTACTGGGGCTCAGGTCAGAATTGGTGGTGGGGAGGTTGACCCTCTGCTGTTTCATAATCCCAGATTTCTGGGGCTTTCTTAGCTCCTCCAAATGATTGGAGTTTGGGAGGCCAGAATCTTTCGTGTCTGTATTATCCGGATTCGAGTACTTCCTGTTTGACGCTCTATCTTTCGGCAGAGGTTTCTGGGACTTAGATCGGTCTTCCATACCCGAAGGCTGGGTTTTCCCAGCCAGCCCGAGGGTCTTCTCCTTGGCACTTGCAATGACACTGAGTGACTTCTGTAACATGGATGTGCGCGGGTGCCCAGGCTTCTTCTCTGAGCTGAGGTTGTGAGCACTAACTGACTTGCACACCAAAGGCACCGACTCTGTGGACTCTGCCTCGCTGTCTTCTTTGAGCTTTTGTGTCAGTTTTTTACTCGACAGAGACTCCAAGGTCGAATTTTCCGTGGCCTCCTCCTCCTGGCTCTCTGTGGGTAGGCTGCTGGACTCTTCAGTTTGGTCTCTCACGTGGTCATACGTGCTGTGGGATTTCTTGAGAGAGAAGACTCGATTTTTCAGGGACTCGTCCTTGGGTCTCCCCGTGTTCCCTGAGGACTCAGCGGGGTTCTTCCGGACAAGGCCTGTCCCCTTGGCTGCACTGTGATCTGTGGCCTCTTTGTCCTCCTTAGAACACTGCCTGCTGACGGTCTCCGGGATCTCGGTGATACGCCTCATGATGGACCGCCCTAAGCCCTTCTTGGAACACCGCTTTTTCTGTAGGTGGGGGTTGTTGGTGATCATCTTCTTGCGCTTGTATATTTCTAACTGTGCATAGAGTTTTTTCAGCTCATCCTGCCGGGACAAGAGGACATTTAAAAAGGCACAGAATTAGTATTTACAGAAAATACCTGACGGGTGCTTATAAAAACAAGATTGAGCTTTCTCAGACAATTGTAATGAATGCATCCATCAATTTCTCCTTGTTCTTAACTTTCTAATACTTTTGTGGATTTTTTTTTCTTAAACAAACTTTGAACTTTAAGACACGAATTCATAGGTTTTACTTTTGCTTCATGGAGCAAAGACTTGGAATTTTCAACTTGTTTGGCAAAGATTGGATCTGGACTATAACAAAACCCAGCAGCCTAAGAACAGCTGAACAGTAACTCTGTGGGGGATTGGAAGCAATGTAGCTGTTGATACATCATGACTGACACTAGATGGACCTGGCAACAGCAAAGTAGTTCAAAGCATCTACTTCCTTCAGAGGCTGATCCATTTTCACACGTTATATTAAACAAACCAGTCTCTCTGCTCACAGGTGTATCTTACCTTGCTGAAAGCATGGTATGCCCACATGCCAGTCAAGATTAGGAACTGTGACCAACGCAAGTGTGAGAGCTGAGACAGTTTTGTGCAGCACAATTTTAGCATGACTCTACATTGTAGTCTTACTTCACGATGCCTTCAGTCCCACACATACATTCTCTTTTTCTTTAAAACAGACAGAAACACGCGTGCACATATATGCTTCAATTCACACATGCTTGTCTGCATCACTGGTATAAATTGAATTAATCTGACATAGATTAAAAAGCCCCTTTGACCTTACCCGGATGTCTTCTGGATCTAGGCTGTGCTCACTCCAGGCTGAATTGATACTGCTGTTCAGGTAGGATCCAGAACGACCCATGTCCAATTCATCTTCATAGGCTTCTGTCGCGATGTCATCACGGGGATTATTGCTTGAATGTGAAAACTGCAATAGATATTCAGCGTGAGCCATAGGAGTCAACCCATTGTTAGATAGCACAACATCTTCTAAGGGACTGATGCTAACCTAATTTCTTCATCTAGATGGATTCACCCACTCAACGCTTAACAATGATTTGTGGCTGTGTTTGTGGTTTGCATTCCCTGGAATGTGCTAGAGCTATTTGTGAGGCAACACCAGCTCCGTTCACTCTTTCACTCCAACTTTATTTACCCTTGTTTCTTTGTTAGGACTCCAGTGTTAATTTTTGCTCGTTTTCCATAATATATTTGCTTTTTTGAAAAAGAAAATAAGTAGAAGAATCATAAGAAAGTCTCTCTAGGAGAAGCAATTTGATGTACTTGTGTATGGATAAAAATTGTTTTGATATACTGTTATATAATACAATAATTTCTGCTTCAGATAATTAGCCCTGGAGACAGGGATGTGACTTTCCAGCTACTGCATGTGGCTTTAGGTAAAACCCAGTGGACAGGATACGTGATCCCAGTCACACCTTGGTCATCAGTGAGCTCTTTATAAGACATGGGACTCCTACAGAGCACAGTACTACCTTGCTTCACTCAGACGGTATTTAAATTAAAATGGAAAATTTAACTGATACTAGAGATTTCTCCTCAAGCCCACCATTTTTAATCAAGCTCCCCCTTTATCCCATTTTGACTATTTTTGTGTGATGTTGTTTGGTTTTGTGACTTGTCTGCATGTTCCTTAGGTATTGAAGTCAGGAAGAACGAGTTGGGTGAGTGATAGCAGGAAAGGGAGTCAGAACAATCTAGTCAAGCCTTAAACAACGTGGAGACAATGTTTTATGAAAATCGAGATAAAAGTTTAGAAAACATGGATTCTCTTGCCCCAGATTGTCAATAGTTCAAACATTTCTTTAAAAATAATAGATCATGTGGAGACAGCTCCACCAGACTCAGACAACTGCTACCAACTGTGAAAATATTGTCACAAAGGAAAGCAAAACGGAACTTGGGTGTGTGCACAATGAACTGTGTATTCAGTATCACATGGGACTTTAATCTTGTCTAATTTTCAGAGTGTATTTATACTTAAAATTTAATAGACCATTTCTTTTATGATAGAAAGGTTTTTAAAGGAAGTTTTCATTAAACAACTAGCCTACTCAACTGTGCTGGTTAGTTTTTAATGTCAACTTGCCACAACTTAGAATCACTAAGAAAAGAGTCTCGGTTGAGTACTTGTCTTTATCAGGTTGGTTCCTGGGCATCGTCTCTGTTTGGACTGTCTTGGCTGTTAATTGATGTAGGAAGGCCTCTACTACTGCAGGTGTCACCATTCCCTAGGCTTTGGGGCCTGAACTATCTGAGATGAGATAATGCTAGGTGAAATGATTGAGCAGCATCAGTGTATCCATTTTTCTCTGCTCTTAGCTGTGGATGTGATGTGACTACCCACTTAAGTTCTTGCTCCAACTTCCCCTTGGGTGCAATGGACTATGACTTGGAATTGTAAGCCAAATGCACCCCTTTCTTTCCTCAAGAGGAATAAAACTAGAAGACCAATTATCCATGTGTATACAACAACATGGGAAGCAGCAATCTTCTACTTAACAACAATCTGTGTTTTGTAATTAGAACTTATTGAAAAACCATGGTGACTAAATCTTGCTTTTCCTCTTTTCCTGGGAGACCCATAGGTACCACAGACTTAAAGATATGAGTGGTAAATATGGTAGTGTTCCATGTGTCACAAGGTTATACCACCTGGAGGGTACTTACATGAACAGAATTGTTCTCAACCAAAATCTTTGATACAAGCATACGTTTAAGAAAGAGTCAGGAGGTGGGGTGATAACTAAACAGTAAATGTGTTTGGTTGGCATGCTCCAGACAATGGGTTTGATCCCCAGCACCACAAAAATAAAACCCAAACAGGCATTTGTCAGATATTACACATTTCCTGCTTCATCATTTTTCCTTAGAGCTTTATCTAAAATGCTAGTTTAAATATTTATCTTACTCATTTCCTTTTCCCTTGCCCCACTCCTAAGTACAGCTGCCAGATGTGGGGGGTGTACTGTGGGTGAATGAGAGTGGGCCTCTGTGTGTGTGTGTGTGTGTGTGTGTGTGTGTGTGTGTGTGTGTGTGTGTGTGTGTTTACACATGCATGTGTGTGCATGTGGAGGCCAGAGCCATGTTGTCCACCTTATTTTTTAAGACCAGAGGCATGTTGTTCACCTTATTTTTTAAGACTAGGTTTCTCACTTGCATAGAACTCTCTTAGCTGGCTAGGCTGTCCAGCTAGCAAGTCCCAGGAACCCACCTGTGTCTGACTCCTCAGCACTGGGATTATAACTGTATATCACTAATCTGGCTTTATATGTACATACATGGATTCTGGGGATTTAACTTAAATTTTCATGGTTGCAAGGCAAGTACTTTACTGACTGATGATTTCCCCAGTCTGCATTAAATTTGTTTTTTTCTTGTTGACAAATAATATTCCATTATAAAGATATACCATGTTTTACTTATACATTTATTAGTCGATAAACATCTAGATTGTTATGAATAATGGTGCTGTGGACATTTATGAACAAGGCTTTTGCATGAACATAGATTTAAAATTCTCTTTGTAGTTCAGTAATAATTTATAGAAGGAACAGTCTAAGTATCCATTAATCTAATAAATATATAATTTGTATTACAAAATTTTAAAGAACTTGGATAAACTACGGTGACAAAGTAACCTCTGAAAACAGTGTGATCAGTTAACATAACTCAGGGAGGCAGTACAACTAATATTTATTGTTTGTCATTGTTCAGTCTTTTCAATCAGGTTGAACCTAGAGGTTCAATGTGAGACGTGAGATGAAGCCAAAAGTGAAAGACAAGAAATCACAGCTCCGAGTTTAGCTGCCGTAACACCATGTTTCTTTGTACACAACAGAATAGTTGTGATAATAATTGTAATGCTGTAACTTGTATACTATCCTTTTAGCCAAAATTCCAATATCATCTTACATATTCTGAGTTTTACTTCTGAGGAAACTGAAACTCAGATCAGAGTCTTGGCTGATGTTACAGTACACAGCTACTTAAACGTGAAGTCCACATCAGCTGAGTCCTGGAATGCTTTTATCCACTTCCCCTTTTATGCCTAGGCAAATTTTAACTAGAATATATCGCTATAGGTTCCTCTGTACAAAATATCACACTCACTAGTTTTATTTACACAAAAATTTTCTAAATTTTTGCCACAAGATTCCTCTGAAGGTGAATATAGAGAAGTTGTTAGCAGGACAGCTCTTGAAAAATTCCTGCTTGGCAGGAGAGATTGCCCAGCTATTAAGGGCTAGGCTCACAACCAGAAGTAAAATACCTTGCTGTTATTGCCAGCTTCAGTAAGAGTGACTTTGAATAAGTCGTAATGATTGAGTGACGTAGAAATAACAATATTTGGAAAGGGACTAAAAGAGATAGTGGGTTCTGGTATAAATTAAGGTCCCTACATTTTATTTAAGATGTTTAATAATTTCCCAAAGAAACAGACACCCACTTTCTTGAGGAGGAATGTTAGAAGACAATTCTGGGAGCATCAAGCAAATCCCCACACTCCCTTTGTCCACAGTGACAGATACTTTTAAGAGAAGTAAAGACTCCGCGCGCCTTCAGACAGTTGCCTGGCAAGAACAAACACAATGCTAGAGGAATACCTTTGGAATCAAAAGCAGCCCGATGGTGACTGTCACAGTCAAGTGAGTATGTGCAAAATAGAGCATCAGCATCCAGTCAGGCTGAAGTCTCGAGGCGAGCACAAATCTGAAAGGAGAGTTCTCCATGTTAGCAGTCAAGGTAGAGATTTCTGCTTCAAAATCTAGCATGTTTGGAAACATTTCCTCTCAAAGTACTTAGAAAAACAAAAGGCTGCATCCATAGCATATATTTTCCTCACAGAAAAATAAAGGCATACATAACTTTTAGGTTGGCAGAACTATAATGTTATTATTTAAGGTTGTACTTACATATAGACTATGCTAATACTTTTATGTTGACATATGTTGATATGATGTACATATATACATTGATTCTACAAAGCTAAGAATGCACATGAGTTCAAAATGGAAGCTATAGATGGTAGTTCAGGAAAATTTAGTTGCACGTCATGTCTGAATAGATTCTTGTAACATTCTTTATTTCAAAAACATCAGTTGAAGTAAAGGAGGGAAGTAGTAGTTAATTATTTACTTGTCTTTGTGAATAGTCTCAGAAACTTTTAACAGTGAACAATGCGATAGATAGGTGGATTTGTTAATGATTTTTGAGATGCCCTCTTATTTATTTTCTCTCTTTTTCTGTGGTGCTGAGGGTCTTCCATGCTGTATAAACACTTTTCACCTCTGAGAAGCACACTCAGAAAGAGGAACATTTTCAAATAAAGCTTTAGTGTGTTCAAAAATTATCAAATTGTCTTAAATAATTTACAATATAATATTTAGAATAAACTCCAATCGAGGTTTTTCATAAAGCTCTTCTTTAAGCTAGCAAGGAGGATTTAATACTCAAGTCTGCTCTAGAATTCCTGTCAATCCACAGGTGCATGCACAAACAGAACTCTGTTTAAGAGGACTCATCCCATGCCCAAACCAGAGGCTGTTCTTCTATAAAGGTTTTATTGTAATTATAATCCCCCTTTTAAATTTCCTCATACACTGTATATTTCCCAATTCTCAATATGCTATTTTACTGCTTTAGAAATTGAAGAATGAGGATTTTGTTCCAATGTCATATAACATAAAATTTGAGAAGCTAATATACTAATAAATCTTATATTATTAAGATTTATTTTATTGTTAATTGTGTGTGTGTGTGTGTGTGTGTGTGTGTGTGTGTGTGTGTGTGTGTGTGTATGTGTGTGTGTGAGTCTGTTTGTGAGTATGGGCATATGTGTGCAAGAATGTGTGGAGGCCAGAAGAGTGCACTGGATTCCCCTAGAGCTGAAATTATAGGGCAGTTGTGAACTACTCAGTGTGGATGCTGGGAACAGAGCTCTGCTCCTCAGGAAGAAGAGCAGGTGCTCTTAACTACTGAGACATCTCTTCCCAAGGGTTTACATTCTAATTACAAAGCAAACGTATTAATGGCTGAATGTGACTAAACTCATTCTAAAATCTGCAAGGTACCACATTCATTACAATTTTGCTATGTAAATTAATATTACTAATATTTAAAGCAAAAGTGTCACCAAGGGTATTGCTTCCTCGTTTCACTCCTCCCTCCTTTCAGAACATCAAGCTAAGAAAGAAGCTCCTGCTCATCCAAAATGGAAGGCTATTTCCCTATGCTTCTGGAGATACGAAAAACCAAACTCATCACATACGTGGACATGCAGAACATTGATGTCAGCCCACATGTCACATGACTGTTCTAGACTGCCACCTTCTCTAATTCCTTTGGAGAAAGCAGCCTTCCCTAGGTCTTAAATGCATTTAGCAGGTACTTTATTCAAGGGCACGATAAACTTTTGACATGATCTGTTTCCTTGAGTCATGTGAAATTTTCTTAAATCATTGTAATGGGACTGCCATACTAAGCAACAGATAACAGTCTCTGAAGTGTGTATGACACACACATTTTCATGCATAACACACATGTATACATATGAATGCTATGTCCTAGAAAAATGATATGAACCCAGTTATTTAGTGGCCATTGCAAATACTGGCACAGAAAGGCACACGAGTGGAAATGGATCTGTGTCTATAAGCATCCTCTTGTAGTGGAAATCCTGTCTCCTAGCCGACACAAGTAAGTGCTTTACATAGCAAGCTTCCTCCTATATCTAGAAGAAGTAGTGGTTCCACACACTTTAAGTTAAAATGGTGACCTTCCAAAAAATTACTTTGAAATAGTACTAAGATTAATTACTTTCAATTTAATCAGCCTTAAATCACTGCCAGGTTGTAGCTCTGGCTGGAAGTATCTTGAGAAAAGTAGTTTTGTGGTTGTTTTGAAGCTTCAATTTTAAAACAGTATTTCAGCTTTGCAAAAATGGATCTCAAATCCAGGAGCATAGCAATATTTGAAACTGTGTGTTTAAAAATAAAGCAAACAAACAAACAAACAAAAAACCTTGTAGACTCCTGAAGGGTTTCTCTATGCTAGCTCTGAAACGGAAGGATTAGAACAGGCTGGGAGAAAGGCCTTTGCATAATCACCCCTTCGGATTCAGTTCTTTGATATTGGTTTGTTTTTGTGTAATCACCCAATTTTGTAAGAATGAAAGTAAATATATGTATGATAAATTTTCATATACATATGTTATATATCCATATATAAAATGTCACACTTGAAGCAGACAAGCAAGAATACATGTGTCATACTGATAGCATGTCTCTCCTAATACCAGAACCTTAGTCAACAGTATTTCATTCAAGAAAACAAGGACTAAAATGGATCTTGTTGGTTTAAAATTATTGTTATTGCTTCTTTTCCTGGGGCTTTATAAGCATCAGAATTACTGATTCCATGTATAATGAAGGACTTGGAAAGACTTGATTTTAAAATATTATTTCCATTCCTTTCCTCCCCACATGCTCTAAATCAGTGTGAAACTACAATTTCACTCATTTGTCCTTTCTGGCACTATGGATTCCAAAATTTAAAATGTATCAAATACACACACATACATAAAAATACCTAAAGTGGTATACTTCTGTTAACAGTGCTTATCTTTAAGAGTATGAATGAGGGGCTTACTTCTTTCTTAACCGTTTTATAATTTTTCTGTAGTGACAATATGTTGCCTTATTATTAAAATACCTTTATAATTTTATCTAAGAAACAGTTTAGTTGTCTGTTGATGAAAGGACCTAAGCTAGTTTCAATTTCCAAATCCACTAAAAATCATATTTCGTATGGGACCAAACAGAGGACATCTAAAGCCGACAGGTACATTCATGCAACTTCTTTGAACTTTTTTAATTTTAACAATTTGTTTCTGTGGGAGCCGGAGGCTTATTGTAAGGCAATAAGCTTTTCTCACTCCTTAGTTCCATTGTGATAACAGCAGGCGGTAAACCACTCATGAGGGCTCCTTGTAGGCTTTAACCATGTGGCTTGTGAATAGAACATCTGACTTGCAATTGGTTACAGAGAAGCAAGCTTGTTAAATCTTAAAAACTTACACTCTTGACATTCTGGAGACCGCTAACAAAAAGTGACTTCACTTGGAAGGTAATCGTTAGCTTTACTCCACTGGGACCATGACAAGGTCTTCTGTCTTTTCCCACATTCTGGACCCAGGGCATTCTTTCTCAGCTCTGGGTACTCTAGTCTGAGTGGATTAAGAAGTCTTCCTCCCTTGGCTTACTTTTAATCTCATACTCTATTATTCTTCTCAGATTTCCAATGCTTTTTAATTTTCTTCTCTTCTTTTATTTCTCTATCTCTTGAGCTGCAACAAGACAAAGCTGGGCCAGTTCCCCAACTCCTGACCCGATGGGGTTTCCAGGGCTAATGGACTAGATAACCTCCTTTTTGTTTAAAAGTTTAAGCACTGCATCTGCCTGGAGTTCCAACTGCTCTCTGGCATCATCTGTTTCCAAAGGTAAAAGTTACTATTTTCTGAGAGATGTTGCAGAATATTATTTTAAGGTGTGTTACTTTTGTTTTTGTTTAACTCTGAACCTGTGTTACTTTGCCTGTCTGGTCTAATAACGAACTAAACGGCCAATAGCAAGGCAGGAGAAAGGATAGGTGGGGCTGGCAGGCAGAGAGAATATACAGAAGGAGAAATCTGGGAAAAGGGAGAAGAAAGAGATGGAGGAGAAAGGAAGAAGTAGCCAGAGAAGGAGGAGGTCACCAGGGACCAGCCACCCAGCTACACAGCAAGTCACAGAGTAAGAGAGTAAGATTTACAGAAGAGAACAGGAAAAGTCCAGAGGCAAAAGGTAGATAGGATAATTTAAGATAAAGGAGGCTGGCTAGAAACTAAGCCAAGCTAAGGCTGAGTATTAATAAGTTAGAATAAGTTTCTGTGTGTGATTTATTTGGGAGCTGGGTGGCGGCGGGCCCCCCAAAAGAGCAGAAACAAACCACAATAGAGAGACAATCACACAGAGAAACTTCCACACATTCCCCAGCCTTCTGTTCCACTCAAACTCCAGGGAAGTATGAATGAACCCTAACCTCTTCATCAGGGCAAAGATATTCAACTTTTCTAATTACAATCCTAAATGTAATGTTCTCTCAGCATGTTTCAAGCAATTGTATGGCAATTTTTTTTGTTTTGTTTTCATTAAAATGCTAGGATTCCTTTTGTTATCTGGCCCCTGAGATTTTCATTTCATTTTGTATTGTGATGCGTGAGAAAGGCCTCAAAAGTCAGATGCACGTTGTTTCATCTGGCTACTCTTCCTCCTTCCTCCTCATCTGCGGGAGAGACACATGAGACAAGCACAGAACAATGGCTAGTTGATACACTCTCCGCTCAGAGACATGTTTAAAACAAGAGGGTGCCAGAAATGTGAACACAAGAATGCAGTCAACACAGTGAAGAGCCTTCAGTAGAGCCCCCCCCCCCCCCCCCCCCCCACGAAGTGTCTGAGCACTAAGAGTTTGGAAGTCTAGGCCAGCATATTGATGTGAATAAAAAGGATGAGTTCCCTACAGCTGTTTCATCACATATATGTGTGTTGTTTTACATCTTAGTAACTCAGTATGGCATATAAATAATATCCCATGGTAGCTTGTAAGTAGGTTTACATAATATAATAATATGGAGCTAATCCTCAAAATAAATGAAGTCAGAAGAAAGAAAACTCATCTGAAGGGCTAAGAGCAGCTAAATTCATCTGCTATTTCTGCAACAAATTAGATATTCATAAACCATTATCCTTCTTAAATGGTTCAATTGCTCATCTCTTCCAGCTTAGCTTTTTAAATTAAACTGCAAAACACAACAGTGTTTTTACTACCTCCAAGGATCATGTACTGGCTGGTTTTATGTGTCAGCTTGACACAAGCTAGAGTCATCAGAAGAAGAAGTCTCAGTTGAAGAAATTCTTCAATGAGATCCAGCTGTAAGGCATCTTCTCATTTAGTGATCAGTGGAGGAGGGCCTAGCCCATGATGGGGGGAGGTTGCCATCCCCGGGCTGGCGGTTCTGGGTTCTATAAGAAATGGGGCTGAGGAAGTCATGGGAAACCAGGCAGTAAACACCTTCCCTTCATGGCCTCTGCATCAGCTCCTGCCTCCAGGTTCTTTCCCCGTTTGAGTTCCTGTCCTGACTTCCTTCGGTGATGACCAGCAATGTTGAAATGTAAGCCAACTAAACACTCTCCTCCTCAACTTGCTTTTCGGTCCTGGTGCTTCGTTGCAGTAACAGAAACCCTAGCTAAGACAGATCACTTACCTAATTGTATGGAATATAGCCGTGATAATGAGCTCATTGTGAACCGCCACAGCCATGTAGCGAGGCTCGTGGAAGGCGGAAGGGACTGTCCGCACCGCGTAGCAGAGATAAACACCCCACAAGAGGAATACAAATTCAGCTGTGAGAGGAACAAACAATTCCCCGTTAGTTTCATAGGTTAAAAAGTAGAAAATTTAACTTCTTTAACATGCTTTTTATTATAGGAACATAATCTTAGACGCTTGCAAAGTTCCATTCCCATAAAGATGCAGATGCCATACACTGAATTTTTTAAATTTCTTCAGCGTACCTACTTGTTTCAAAGGTATCCTCTGCTGTTGCCATTGTTTATAACACAATTGATATTCTCATTGTTTTGCTAATATGTGGCCTTTTCCCTCTACAATGACTGTGAAATGATTTTCCCCCTTCTCCATCCAAACGTATGGTGTTCATAGAGATTCTGGGTCCTCACAAAGTACCAAGACAAGAAGCCTACACAGCTTCTGGAAATGGAAGTTCCTGCTGCACCAAGCCCAACTCAGAGAGTAAAAATAGCCACTGTCAGAACTGTGGGAGCACAGGTTGTTAAACACTCAGTGACATATTTTACAAATGAAACATTGTTTCTTCACACATGACAGAAATCCTATCTTTTGTGGGTGGAGTATGGCAAGACTCATAAAATCTGCAATCACCTTGTTGGATCTTTGTTCCCAGGAAGGGCAGGCATAATGTATCAGCTAAGAGTGCCTAAGTCTGAGCCTGGCTCTCCCTAACGCAGCATAGACTCAGGCTGCATGCTCTGAAGACAGTTTCTTCACCTGGAAAATGAGGCTCACGAAAGTGCACACTTGGGAGACTACTTGCTAACGAGATGAGCTAGCTACACAAAGCACTGAACATGGTTTCTGACTCAACTTTTTCTTAATACTGAGACTCTCATTTGTCAGTTTTTCAAACTGATCACTGCTCCTTTTTGTTGTTGTTGTTGTTTATTTGTTTGTTTAGGTTGGTTTGGTTTTGATACAGGATCTTGCCTTCAGTCCAAATCCAGGGATTTCAGACAGAGGACACCACGGCCTGTTGGAGCACTGCAATTCGAAGCCACTTTGACTAATCCACTCCATCTCTCTTAGTAACATGACCTTGCTGGAAAGTAGCATCTACCTGCTAAGAGCAATCACTCTCCTGTGGAGACACCCTGCATGCTGGGTCACCCAGATGTAACCTTGCACCTGAAATGCTGGTCTCTATTCAGAGCACTGATTGTCCGTCCACAAGCCAAGCTGTTCTCTCTGCCAACACTTCAGCTTATTTCTAGCAGAATTTAAACATTAGACAGTGCTCCAATTACTGGAAATCCTTTAAATAAACCAAGCTGCCAGGAGCTATGCTTAAAACCCGGACATGGACAAAAGCCAAAGAAAGAAAATAAACTTCACTTCAAACCCTCAGTGAGATTTAAGGTAAATCTGAACTATTCAGCTTGCTGGCTGCTGGCTGTATGTGTGAACACCATCCCCAGCCATTACCAGGTGTCATGCCGGAAATAAGACCATCTTCATCGGCCATCTCCTTTTCTAACTTTCATAGCACCACATGACCTTTGTCACAGAGTTGGAAATCTCAGAGTCCCTTACAGTCTACATACTAAGCATTCACATGTGTTCAAGGCTCTCAGCGCTCACTGCCGGAGCCTCCATCATGGCCTGCTGGCTGAGCCCATCCACACACAGTGTAAACTCACTTACCATAACAATGGCAGGCAAACTATTCTGAAAAGCCATTTTGATTAAACCAGAATTTACCTAAATCTCTGCCAATGATTTTGGGTTAAGCAATTCACATCTCTACTGAAAGATTTATTCAAGTCTTTGAAACATCAGAAATCATTCCTGCCCCCCCAAAAAGATTCCAAGGTCTTCCTGCAGGGCAAACACGTTCTTGATTTCAAGATGTCCTTGTTGCCCACTTTTATGTTAGGTACCCACACTGCTTCATGTTCTTCTTTTGTGTCTATTTACATCTTAGACTCTTAATTCTTTGTCTGTTCTGTGAACAGCCATTTATTTGATACCCATCAATTACATCTCTGTTCAGAAATCTTGAGTGGTTCACTATTGGGCAACCTATCAGGAGGCTCATCCTTCAAGAAAACTGCTTCTCCCTCTCTGAATGGCCATTGACTATAGCTCTTCTTCTACCAGTAGGGCCTGGAAGTTTGCATCTATTCATGTTGGCATATCAACTGGTCTGGTCTTGTGGCAGCAACCGTGTTGCTGAGCATTCATGGATGCAAAATCAGATACTCTTTCAGAGCAGTCACAGTGGTCCTCCAGCTCCTGCCACCTTCTTGCCTACTCTTCCATGATGTTCCCTGAGCCTTTGTTATATTTTTTTGGTGGTTTTTTTTTTTTTATTCGAGACAGAGTTTCTCTGTGTAGTTTTGGTGCCTTTTCTGGAACTCACTTTGTAGCCCAGGCTGGCCTCGAACTCACAGAGATCCACCTGGCTCTGCCTCCTGAGTGCTGGGATTAAAGGAGTGTGCCACCGCTGCCTGGCTGTTCCCTGAGCCTTTGATGTAGGGGATGTGTTACCAATGCCTCATTTGGAGATGGGCGTGACACAGTCATTTACTCCCCTACTTAATATTTTTAAACACTTTTAAAATGTCCAGTTCAAGTTCTCTCCCTATCACTAAGCCTCCTGAAATTACACTAAATTGTCTTTCCATTAATACTTAATAATTTTAATATAGAGAATCATGTCACACAATTTATAACCGGTACAAAATTGTTCATGGAATTGTCAGTCAACTTCCTTCCTTAGCCTTCCCAAACTTAACTTCAGGGAAATAACTTTCTCCCATCCCCACCCCCACCCCAGTCCTAGGGATGGACCCTGAAACCCCACATGTCCTGAAAGCACTCTACCTTGGAGCTGCATCTCCAACCCTCTTCTTACGTTTTTCTATTTTGATACAAAGTCTCACTAAGTCGGCCATTGTAGCTAGGGTTTTCCTGCCTGGCCCACAGTCAGGACAAATCTCTGTCACCCGCCAGTCCCACAGCCGCTCAGACCCAACCAAGTAAACACAGAGACTTATATTGCTTACAAACTGTATGGCCGTGCCAGGCTTCTTGCTAACTATTCTTATATCTTAAATCAATCTATTTCCATAAATCTATACCTTGCCACGTAGCTTGTGGCTTACCGGCATCTTCACATGCTGCTCGTCATGGTGACGGCTGGCAGTGTCTCCCTCCGCCTTCCTGTTCTCTCAGTTCTCTTCTCTGTTAGTCCCGCCTGTACTTCCTGTCTGGCTACTGGCCAATCAGTGTTTTATTTATTGACCAATCAGCAAAACATTTGACATACAGACCATCCCGCAGCAGGCCATGCTGGCTTTGATTACCGATGTAACCTTGGCATGCTTTAAACTTGCAATCCTCTTGCCTCGGAGTCCTAAGCAGCTGGACATTCAGGCCTATACCACCAGACACAGCTAAGGCCCTTGCCTTCCTATGCCGGTTCTTTACCCCGCCTCCCGCTCCCCCTTTGAATGATAGCAGCAGCATGGAGCCCACACACATGAGATTCAGTAGTATTTGTTGAACTGCGTGACTATAAATGCCGTCAGCTTCATTAGAGATGTAATGTTCTGTTACCTGCCACTCCATCTAACACTGCTGTGAGTGCTGAAGGAATGAGCAGGAGGTCTAGACTGGAGCCCCTGCTGCGCTGTTCTGTTCGCTTACACATCCTATCAGAAGCCAACAGAAACTTAGAGGCACTCCACCAACTGATTCATTCACAATCTAGTTTCATCTGACCAACCAGGTGATTGGATGGAGACACGGGCCTCCCTGTGGACACTCTGCAAATAAGGAAGGCATCTGGTAGAGCCATGGAAGACGGTTTTGTTTTTGTTTGTTTTTCCTCCTCTTTCCCCTCTGCCACCTCCTCTTTCCCGTCTCCATCTTCCTCTGCTTCCTCCTCTTTTTCTGCCCATAAAACTTCTGTTCTGGTTCCTCTAGGGAAGCCCATAACCCCCTTCCTTTCTGTTGCTTCCTGATCCGCGAACCTTCTTTCTTTGCTCAGGCAATCTCTGTTGAATTTGATTTCGCCTCACCTTTTCTTTAACTGGCCTGTAAATAATCCAGAAACTAGATTGGCATCCTTATTAACAATAGTGACCCCTCCTTATCAATACATATAACACATGTACTATTGTGTTTGGAACAAAGGAGTGTGAGATGCATAAATACTTACTGCACAACTGTAGCACACAGAAAATACTGTGCTGCAGTTGAAGGATTCACACGTAGCTGCCTGATAAAGTAGCATTTGCTACCACTCACTGAGGTGTTTTTATATGTCACCATACTGAAGATCTTAAAGGTAGTCATCAGTTTAATTCGGATGCCACCATGGAGAATTATATTCAAAAACATAAGACAAAATAAGATTTCTCATAATAGCTAAGCTAAACATTAAAATCATTTCATTAGCAGTATCAAACAATACACTCTCACTTAAAAACAATTTATTATTCAAAGTACCAATTAAACTAAATGTGATATATAAGAGTTGTGCTTAGACAAAAAAAATCAGTTTCATATAATTAACTTCAGACTAACACTGCAATTAGTAGAGAAAATATGCAGATGTTACTGAATTCTGCAGATATTACGTGGGAGTTGAAATATGTGTTGGGCTTCTGCTTTCAAAAATAGTTTCTTGTGTTAAATGATCTCTACAGGAGGAAGGAGTGTGGTTAAAAACAGAATTGCCTTTATATTTAAATATCTAAATATGGTTCAAAGAAAACTGAGGTGTTTTATTTTCAGTATATAAGGGATAACAATATTAAAGTACCATGGTCCTTTAAAAATTAATAAACCAGAATGAAAATTATTCCAAGCTGCTTTTTCACAAGGCCAGGGAAAACAGAGAAGAATTCATATCAGTTCTGTGACACCAAAGATGTCCCAGCTCTGTGATCTGAGGATCCCCACCAGGGCTAAAAGGATAACAGCTTCAAAGTAGACACACCACTCAAACTGTGGCGCCTCTTAGCCAAGCTGGGGAGGCCTCTGTGTTAACAAATGCTACCTCTGTTGGCTACATCAAGTC